GTAGAGGTTCCTGAATGTCCACCCCAATCATCTGGAGGACTTGTTAAAACAGACTGCTGCCCCCTTGCACCCTGAGTTTTCTACTCCATAGGTCTGCCCTGGGCCCTCACCATCTGCATCTCCCACAAGCTGAGCTGTTTCTGCTGATCTGCTGGTCTGAGGACCGTGCTCTGTGAGGTTCTGCCATCAGGAAAGGACATGAACGCAGGTCAGGTGATATGAAAGCACGGCACTCTTTTCAACAGGAGACTGTGCGTCTTATGCCCGGACTTTGTAAATAGACTCATATAAATTCTTAGGGAAATTACAAATTTATTTTTTAGCCCTTTCAAGCTCTGGAGGAAAATAAGGCTATATAAAACCTCTCAGACTAAATAATCATTTTTTACAAAAAGAAAACTACCAATTCTAGAATCAGTACTTTCTAAATGGAAGCATCCGTTTCCTAGAGCTCAATATGTCATGGGTGGTTTTCCCCCCAATCAGATACACCCTGCCCATGCCCTCACCCACCTACACTCCTTTATCTTTCCTAATGATGTGAGGTATCATAAGTTATCATGTCAACCCTCCTCTAGCATGTCCAATGCCTTTAGCTGGAATTTTTCTTCCAAGGCCCAGACCTTGAAATATGCAAAACTGAACTCATATTAACAAGTTCTCTTTCACTTAAAAACTAGCCTTGCCATCTCATTGCCATGCGGTGGTTAAAACCAGGAGCTGTGGAACCAGACCAAGTTCAAATACAGGCTCTGCCACATATGGGCTGTTTAAGTTTGGGTTTAGGTACTTGGCTTCTCTGGGTCTCAGCTTCCTCATCTAAGGAATAGGGATATTCACAATGCCCACCTCACAGCCCCCATCCTGTTTCCTTTGTCTCCAAGGACTTACAACTCTTTCACAGATTATATATTTTCTAGAGGCTTATCAAGAGTAAAGGAATGGGATTCAGTACATCAAAGGGGAAGGCCTTCCTTCCCGTGGCTGCGGGCACCGGAAGCTATTGTCCAGAGCCACAAGTCCTTTTAAAGTTCTCCAGGTGATTCTTGTGTGCAGCGTAAGCTGAGAAGTACTGCTCCATGAGGAGGAAAAAAAAAAAAAAATGAAGAGATTAACAAAGGATTTTTAAATAGAAGTAAAAATCTGGTGGACATCAGTAGACATCACTGATTTTTACAGTAGGTAAATACTACTGTTAAAAAATTCCTGGGAGGTGAAAGAATTCCTTGGTACAGTGAGGATAAAGTGGCTTACAATTTCTCTCCAGGCTGAAGCTGAACAAAAGGAGAAGGGCCGGAAAAGGACGGGGAAGGGAAACTTTGGAATGAGAACAAGAGCAAGTGGTGAGAATGAAAAGTATTGTACATTCAGGAACGGAATTCTGGAAAAGATGCGATACATTGGGAAGTTTTCAAAAATGACAAAACCTGACATGTGTCAACAATGGAATATTACTGAATGGGAGAGGAATGTTAAACGTGGACAAGATTTGAAATCAGGGTTACCTTGGTCATCAACAGTGAAGAGGAAAATGCATGCGAGCAGCTGAAATCATAAAGGGACACAGTATCTTGGAGGTGTGACAAAGACAGCATAATTGTGGAGACAGGTATCGTAAACTGTAGTGTAGCTGTGAAAATGGGAGGTTTTCATGGAGTCCATTACTCTCCCTCACAACCTCCCCAAATCCCTGTGGTTTAGAAAACCAGGTATGCATTTTAAGACAGTTCCGTGCCGGCATGGTAATAACCAATAATCCTATTTTAAACACTCAGCATTAAATATTAAATGATTACAATAGGCAGCAAATGCAAAGCCAAGTGAATTCTCAAGCATAGAAACTGACGCCCATAGCCAACAGCAGAGCAAGAACATGGCCTCCTGACCTCAATGAGTTTCACAGTATCAACGTGTGAAGCCTCCCTCCCTCTTTTTACCTCGCTGCTTCTCTAACTCTGACCTCCCCCCACCCCCCGCCGACTCCTGTGTGCTGCTTCAAACACCAGCGAGTTTTCAGAGGAAGAAAACACTTGAACTGTACACTAAGCTTAAATACTATCAGAAGTGTCAGATCTCTAGCTCTCTCCATCCTCTGAAGTACTCACATTATTGAAAGTACTATGGCTGACCAACGTCCCTCTGCAGGGCAAATGCATTATGATGACGCTATAGCAAGAGATGGGTATATGATCAGTGTGTTATAATACAAGGAGCTGCATAGATAAATTCACCTGAAATCATCCAATCAGTGGTAAGGGCTTTAGAATCATTTTCACTTTAGTAGATAGTATTAAACCTAATTTGTCCCAGTAATAATAATAAAAAGTAATGTTTAATTTTTATAAGGAACATCAGCCCCCTACCTAGCCTAAGTGGGCATGGGGAATCAATTTTACTACCAGAGAATGAAAAAATATATACAGAGGAGAAATGCAAGACAAACCCATTATGACCATGGCATTAGGAGTAAAATAATTCACATTATAGTCCCATATTGTTATGGCAAAATATATTTGCATACCTAAGTACAAGAGAACGTGTAGCCCACAGACTACACTAGGTAAAAACAGACTCTAATGAATAGTACCTCACATTTGACAGAGCAGCGCTATTTCCAGGTCCTAGTTACTAAATCCAGAATAAAAGTGTTTTATTGATCTGTTTTCAACATTCTGAGGCATAAAACTGCTGTTTTGTTCTGAGATGAGAAACAGCTACACAGCAGGCACTCAGCAAGGACAGCCCAGGTCCACTAACTTCCTTCCCCACCTAAAAGATAGAATCTAACCACCCTTTGAGGAACATCCATTGAACATTCTCAAATCAAGATAAGCATACAGTGTTAACAAAAGACATCTCTATCTATTATCTATCTATCTATCTATCTAAAGGCCAGGTGACTAGAACAGCCAGAATGACCAGAACACTGGAATGACAGGAATGCCATGGTCCTATGACATGAACCTGCCCGCAGACACTCCCCCCTACTCCCCACTGGCCCTAACCCTGATTGCCCCCCTTCCTGATCAGGGGCGGGGCCAGCTGGCCAATCTCCTGCATCCCCTTCCCCGGCCGCACCCCCCACCCACCCAATTGGTCCCCATTGGGAGAGAGGGAGCCAGCCAGACGCTACCTGTGCACGAATCTGTGCACCAGGCCTCTAGTATAATTATAAAAGTGTGCCCGTGCTAGTTTCTTACAGATGAGGGTACATCAGATTTAAAGCTGACAGTGAGAAAAAAGCAAAGAAAAAAGGCAAAGGAAAGGGGAAACCAATGGGGGTGCAGGGAATGGTGGAAAGAGAACACAAGGGCAATGTTAGTGTGAAGAGTCAGTGATGAATTCTTCAAGTGCTAGGTCTATCACGGAATGTGTACCCCATTTCCATGTGCTTAAGAGTGCACAGAGCTCTAACGATCCCCGGGTTTGGGGACTGCCAAACTACCCCATTCATTCATATCCACAGTTTCAATGATGCGTCTGGGCAACCGGCCACCCCCTAGGAGATGCTAACCCCAGAGACACCAACAGCAGTCAGTCTGAGAACGACAGCTTCTCTTGCTTAGGAGCAGATTCTAGCAGAAGTGGCTCTCACAGGGTTCTCGGTGCCCTGTCTCCCGTGTGACCCTTGCTCTCTCAGGAAATGACTTTCCTCTCCCAGAGTAAACTAAACAGGACACTCAAAACCGTGTTCCTGCTAAATCCTCCCATGCTGGTGCTAGGCAGTCCTTTCAAAGAGCAACTCCTGTGATTAAGTCCAAGGCCCCCCTCCCAGGGTTTGGCTCTGCAAAAGCCTGTGCATACCCAGCAAGGCATAACCCCCGGCCTGGTCACTTGCCCACTTTCCACTGTGTCCCTCCCTCTCTGAAATAGTCTTCCTTGGCACTGCTCTTAGAAACAAGTACTCCTCCTTCTGGCTCCCTCTCTGAATTCCAGTATTGGTAGCCCTGAGCAACTCACAAAATTCCTCTTAACAGACCTCCCTCCAGGGTTGCACAAAAATTCAAAACTCACCGTCAGCCCTGGAGAGGTCAAAACTCATTAAAAGGATGCATGCTAATTTATAATAATGAATTCTGGGCCAATGGTTGTAATTTTCCGTTTTGTCCAAGTGATTTAGGGTGAACATTTTCATGATTAGGGTCCCATTATTGGCAACTGGGATGCACTGCTCAGTTTTCCCAGATTAATACACAATGGTTACATTATGAAAAAGGTGTTTATCATTATTCACTCATTCGAGCATATTCCAGTGTCCAGCTCTGCCCCACATTCTTGGAAATGCAGTGAACAAAATGAACAGAATCCCACAATGTCGTATTAAAATTCCACAGTGTGACGCTTATCTTCAAAATAATCTGGAATATTTTAAATATTTTATTTAATGGCAAAAAAATAAAATAAATTGGGTAATACAAAGCATATAGGAAGCAAATACACCATGACTGAATATCTTAGGAATTCTTTATCATTTAAGCCTTTCTACACACTGTGAACATGTAGCAATTATGATAATATTGGGCAATGAAATATTTGCTGGTCACTTCAAGAGTGCTACTATTTTACTTTAAATAAGATTGCAGATCACACAAAATGTACTAATTGCTTGAACAGGATTGTTTGCCAAGAGTAAGAATAAAATTCTATAAAGCAAATTTTTATGACAAGAATAAAAACACATAGCACAATGGAGATCAATTTATACTGTACTACAGCTATCAAAAGGTACATTTTACTCTTTCTGGCACAGCAAAGATTGTTTTTCAAGCTTGACTTATGGCTTTGGGATTATAAGGAACATGCAATTACATTAACCATTTTCTTACTAAAACAAAGTCAATGTATACAATACAAAAAAAAATCTACAGAGAAAAGTTTGTCCTTTTAACAGGAATGTGTCATACAAAGAAACATCTACACGCCCAGGAGCAACATACATTGACCAAAAGTTACCTTTAGCCAAGATTTTTTTTTTTTTTCTTTAAATCCTGCTACACCTGTTTTTCTTTTTCTGTCTTTCGGGCTCGACAAAGGATGTAGGACATTACCGAAGTAACAAAAGAGGACACAAAACCACACTTCAAGCAAACTGCTTGTCAGTATTAGAACCTGGTTTGACAAACAGGTTTAATCCGCTTCCTCAAAGGCCAGGCCATCAAGGTGAAGGATGAAGGTCTTCCGCCAGGTTAGGCTGGCCCTCGTTCAGGGAAGCGGGGCGCTCCTGGGCCTCTCCCGCATGGGTGGCTTTTTCCGGCTGCCGGGCAGGAGTCAGTTCAGTAGCCCTCCCCTCTTCCCTGGGTGATAAAATGCCAGGCCACTCGTTTGCCATCAGCACCTGCAGCGACTGCGTTCCGTCTTCCACGTCCACCTGAATCCCCAGCGCATTGAGAATGTCACACTTGCACATGGGGCAGGTCCCGTGGGACAGAATCCAGGGGTCGATGCAGTTCTTGTGGAAAAAGTGTTTGCACGTCAGAATGCGGATGGTGTCGTTGGGCTTGTAGAGCTCGAAGCAGACCACGCAGCTGTCCCCGTTGGGGCTGACTTCCTCGTCCCCTTCTTTCAGGACCCGGAGCTGCAGCTGGCTGAAGGCGAGCTTGAGATCCGAGGCAAGGCGCAGCCACCTCCTACTCTGCGCCCTTGCTAACCAGAGCCTCCGGATGTGGTAAAAGACAAAGTACGTAAATGTGGCGGTGGTGACGATCAGGAAAGAGACAAAATAGTGATTCATCCAGATGATGTGTTTCCTCCCCATCTCCACCATGATGGTGACGTGAACTCCCTTCCGGATCAGGTGCAGGATCTCCGTGCCTTTCAGGTTGCCAATCATCACGACAACGACGTCTTCGAAGGGCTGGTGGGACATGGGGAACACCTGGTTGCCGGTCCCCGGGAAGTTGTAGATGATCACCCCACTGGCCCCCTTCTCCACCGCCACCTTGATCTTCTGCGTGAAGGGGCAGCCGCCCCGCTCAATCAGGGCGAGCCACACATTGAAGTGCCTCGACCGGCTGAAGCTGGTGTTGGGGTTGCAAGCATACTGCGACTTTCCGTCCGGTGGCACGATCACTCCCGACACTCTCTTCAAAGTGGAGCTCCTTCCAAACACCCCGGTTTCCCCCAACTCAGACAGCATGCGGTTCCCCACGTGAAACGAGATGTTCATGTACGCGGTCCACACGGCGCTGGCGTCGCAGCAGCTCTGATTGAGAAGCCAGAGGAGAGTCAGTTTCACGAGCCAGGCCGAAGCAGTGCTGTTCCTCTGAGTGCCAATCTGGAGCAGATTCATCTCTCTCTGCCTACTGAGCAAAGGACCAGTCCAGGGAAAAGAGATGGCTCCCACATCTGTTGGCAATCAATTTAAAATAACAAAGTGAAAAAAATCTTCCAGGTGAAAACTGGTTCCACCTTCTCCCAGCATGTTTTCGTGAGAAATTCTTAAAGATGTTGTATGAGTTGCAGATGTTTTATTAGAGGCAGAGAGAGAGAAACTTTACATTGGTGGGGGGGAAAAAATCCTAGTTTCACTGCTGTAACTCTAGATACTGCTTACTGTTTGTTGGGTGATGTGATTATGACATAAAAGGCAACAGCCAATTAGGTAAGGGCGCAGAGCATCCTGTAAAATGCATTGGCTTGAAGGTCTCAATGTTATTATGGGTGATTTTTCTAGGTTGTTATAAGCTATATTTCATCCCTGAGTGGCAAATACTGTTAGCAGGTACCACAATTAAACTAAAAATCCTATCTAACAAAAGAATAATATGCATATTGACTATCACTCCAACACACAAGATGGCTGCCCCCAGGTGGACACAAGATGGTCACCACAAGATGGCCAGCGGGGGAGGACAATTAGGAGGGGCAAGACCTACAAGGGAGGGCAGTTATGAATGATCAGGCCAGGGAGAGAGAGCTGTTGTGGGAAAACAGGCCTGCAAGGGAGGGCAGTTAGAGGTGACCAGGCCAGCAGAGAAGGGAAATTGGGAATGATGGGATTCAGGGAAAGGCAGTTGGGGGGACCCAGGCCTGCAGGAGAGAGCAGCTAGGGAGGACCAGGCCTGCAGGGGAGGGCAGTTATGGGAAAACAAGCTTACAGGCTGGCATGGGAGTGATTAGGGGGTGATCAGGCTGGCAGGCAGAAGTGGCTGGGGCAATTAGAAGGCAGGTAGGTGAGCAGTTGACAGTCAGCTGTCCTGGATTGTGAGAGGGATGTACAACTGCCCGTTTAGTTGTTAAACGGTCAATCAGACATCCCTCGAGGGGTCCCAGATTGGAGAGGGTGCAGGCTGGGCTAAGAGATACCCCCCCCTTGCACAAATTTTGTGCACCAGGCCTCTAGTTAAATATAAAATTCATACAACACATGCATTTTAAAACCTGAAATATGCATATGGAAGAAAGCTATCTATATATAAAAAAGCCTAAAATGCAAAGTGTCCCATCAGGAGTTTGACTTGGAGTTCGATCATTCTCTAGAACATGTGCTGACTACCAGAGGGCAGTGCGGAATGAAGGAAGGCCCGGACTGCCAGCCATTAACTGCCAGGGACCCTCCCCATGCATAAACTTCATGCAGTGGGCCTCTAGTCTATATATATATATATATGGCTAAGTGTCTATCCAACCAGTAGCTATGATGCACACTGACCACCAGGGAGCAAATACAACACAGAAGCTGCCATGACGTGTACTGGCCATTTAAAAATAAATGGCACTATGGACCTGGTGCCTACAAACCAACACTCAGCTTCCCCAAAGTGGGACACAGGCCCCACCACCACCCCAGAGCGACACCCCACCAAATCACAGCCAATGCTGCCAAGACCCCTTGGTGCAAAATGAGGACTCCAGCCAAGCCCAGCCTGGAAACAGTGGCTGTGGATGCCGGGTAATGACTTCACATAGCAATGCCCAGCTTCCTCTCCCTAGCAACTAGCATCCTTGGAGTTTCTTCAGCCCAGGAACCTAATTTGCTTTATAGCCAGGTGCAAACATTTCACAATTTAACCAAATGCTGTTGAAGTGTTTTCCCATGCTTATCTCATTTGATCCTCACAGAAGACCTGAAGTAGGTAGATAGGAGGCTCGGTAGAATCCTATTTTCTTTTCATTAGCAAGATGCAAACAGCTATATTAAAATATTTCTTCTAATTAATTTCCTTTCAATGTGCACAAATCCATGCACCAGGACACTGGTATAACTATATTTTTTCTTCAAAGAAACATTTTCAACAAAATGGCAAGTTTTGACAAAATAATTTAAAATTAGCACTGCCACCAAATACCTGGTAAAAATGACAAATTCCATAATATCATTTAAAATATATATATATTTTATTGATTTTTTTTTTACAGAGAGGAAGGGAGATAGTTAGAAACATCGATGAGAAACATTGATCAGCTGCCTTCTGCACACCCTCTACTGGGAATGTGCCTGCAACCAAGGAACATGCCCCTGTCAGGAATCAAACCCAGGACCCGTCAGTCTGCAGGCCTATGCTCTATCCACTGAGCCAAACCAGTTTTGGTTGTAATACCATTTTTAACTCACATTTGGTTAAAATGCAAATTTTCTATTTCTCATGTTAACCACTGTACTAAATTGACTTAATAAAAGCTTACTTCAGAAGTTTAATGTGGATTTTATTTTTAAAAGTAGGGTATCCTGTTAAATGACATCAGCCTCACTTCCTCACACTGATCAGATATAGGAATGACAGCAGGAAAGACAGAAACATGAATGTCATTTCTCTGCAGACCTTGACGTCTGTTAATAATATCTTGAGGGAAGAAAAAGGAGGATGTAGGAAAGTTTAAATACAATAATTTTAGTTTAGTATATGTAACTCATTCTAAACAAGAGTGTAACTACTGATTTTAAAAAGAAGAGTTTCAAGGTCCCCACTTAAAATCAACCATAGCAGTGACTACTAAAGGCCATAGATTTTTTAATAAAATGTTTACCAAAATCAACAAACATCCCTAGAGGAAGACCTCACATACACACTGTCAGCTCTGCCTATAGTTTAGCTACACTTATGTCAATGACAACATAGGACATACAAGCCAAAGAATGACTGTGAACTAATAAACATGGGCAGTCATTAGTGCTGCCACACACATTCTTGGGGGTATATTTCAGTGGTTCTTACTCATCAGCTAGAAAATCAGTGAAGGATTTTGACTTTGAACATAAATGCCTCTGACCTCTATGCACAGGATGCTAAGAGACACTTTGGTTGGGTCTCACTAGGACAATGGATGCTAGCACTTCTTAAGAAATGTGAAGCAACAGCATGATTACTTGAGGCAGGAAAGAGGAAGGAGAAAAGGGCCCTATGTGTCCAGCAAAAAGTAGAATCAGAGACTGCTGACATGAAATGCTGAGCTCATAATGGTCAATGTCCTTTACCATAGGCCATTAATCTGACTGTGCTTCCATACAACCCACTCTTTAAAAAGACAGTCTAGTTAGTATGAAATGTGTGGACTCACAAAGTGCCATCTGAGTGGCACATCAGTGGTTCAGCATATTGTCCATAAATAGAGATTTCCATCAAAACAATGTAACCCAAATCTTTCAGTCTCTGGTGATTACATGAGGGTTTATTCATATACTTGAAAAGAGGAAAAGGCAAAGTAAAGCAAAAGATAGAATTCAGAAGGGCAACTGAAAATTTCAGCTCTGTACTTTCCATGTTATTAAAGAGAAACACTAGTATTTTGAGAAGAAAAGCATTTACTAGCTTATTTCTAGAAGGGAAATCTGATTAGCATAGCTGAATCCTACTATGGTAGGATTTAAAGTGCTCTGGTAAACAAAGGTGATTTTTTTGCAATGCTGCCCTAAATGAGACCTATCACAATTTAAAATAGTTTTAGTTACATAACTAAAAGTGCTATCATCTAAATATATATAAAAGCCTAAGATGCAAAGTGTCCCCTTGGGAGTTTGACTGGGAGACCAGGAGTTCAGTTCGACCACTTGCTATCACATGTTCTGACCATGGTGGTGGTGGTGGGGAGGGGGGCACAGAAAAAAGGAAGGCCCCGGCCGGCAGTCGGCTGCCAGGGAAGGGAGGCCCCAGCTGGCACCCGGAAGACTCCAATCAGCCGTGATCACCAGCCAGGCCTAAGGAACCTACCTGTGCGTGAATTTTCTGCATCGGGCCTCTAGTCTAAAATAATTATTAAGAATATTAGAGGCTCAGGGCACAAAATTCGTGCATTGGTAGGGTCCCTAGAAGCTGCTGGCCACGTACTCCCTCCCTTCTCCCAGCTGCCTGCTGCCACTGCCAGCCAGTGCCTCTCTCCCTTCCCTGGGCTAGCCCCACCCCCTGGTCGAACTTCTGGACAACTCCTGGTCAGGGGGGACAATTTGCATACTACACTTTTATTATTCAGGATACTACCTTCCCAGTTAGTAACTTTGTAAACCAGATTCCTTAGTTATTAATAAAATTAATTAATGGATTATTAAATCAAGGTCTAATCCTATAATAAAGTTTATTGAGATTTTATTAGATATCAAATGTTAAAGAAAATATGGTAACAAAGTATAAAAACATAAAAACCTTTAAAATATTATGACTAACTCTCTAACATCAATGCGACATTGTAATCTGAAGGTAAAGGCTAATTTGCTTTTAAGGTATGCTAATGTCCTTATTCAAATAACAGCAAACATGTATAACAACTAAAACATATCAGAAAAACAACAAGTTCAAATAGGTGAGCGTGAATACGGAGTTTTATTTTAAAAACACACAAATTTCACCCTCTTTGGTACTTGGGTAGAGAAGCTGGAGTTGAATTTCCTCTCTACAAAAAGCGCTAAAAGAACTCATCTAATTTTAATCTCTGAAAGGACTCGGTTACAGCTTCAGAGAATTCTCTGGGTTTCTTAAGTTTTCAGAATGTCACACTTGCACATGGGGCACGTCCTCCGGGCTAACAGCCAGGGGTCAATGCACGCCTTGTGGAAAAAATGCTTGCAGGTTAAAATACGTACTGCATCTTGGGGCTTGTACGTGTCAAAGCAAACAACACAACTGTGCTCGTTGGGATCCAGTTCCTTGTCCCCGTCTTTGAGCACTCGCAGTGGGAGCTGAGCGATTGCTTTCTTCACGTTGGCCTTTATCTGCCTTCGCCTCCTGGTGGAAGAGTTGGGCGCTCTCGGTCTCCAGGCGCAGTACAGGAAAAGGTAGGCGACGGTGGGAGCCAGGAAGGTGAACAGGGACATGACGTAATAGCTCAGCCAGGGCATGTGCATCCTCCCCACTTCGATGACGATCGTCACGTAGACTCCTTTCTGAATCAAGTGCAGAAGCTCCATGCCTTTC